TTAATTTTTGATTAGTAATATGCATTGCTAAGAACTTCATTTGGACAACTTTAAAGATGATTTTCTCAATATTTAGATTTTTTTGCACCCTCAGATTCCAGATTTTCAAATAGTTGTATCTCAGCCAAATATTGTCCTATCCAACAACAATCATACATCAATGGAAAGCTTATTTATTCAGCTTTCAGATGATGTATAAATCTCAATTTCAAAAAATTTACCCTTATGACTGGTTTTGTAGTTCAGGGTCGACTTCTGAAGAATCATGTGACACAGAAGACCGTTATGGCTGAACAATTACAGGAATAAATTACATTTTAAAATATATTAAAATAGAAAACAGTTATTTTCAACATTTTTTTTAATTACAGTTTTACTGTATTAACTTTTGTATGTAAAAATTAACATTAAAAATATAATAAATGCTTATATTTTTCATTAGCAATTGCATTACGTATGTTAACTTATAGGTCTTTTCTCTAACATATAGGATTTTTTTATCTATTCTTGTATGTAGAGAGTTTTTTTATTTTCATTGCCTAAAACATGTTGCTTAATCCCAGGAAACCACACTGATAAGATAGTTTAAACCTTTGTCCCATGGTATATTATGGTAGATTACAGTCCTCTGAGTCATGACTGTACCAAAACCTCCTCACTGTTGCTATTGATAAATCGCATGATTTAATAATCACCTTTACACACCATCACTATGTTCACATAGTGAGTCAAATAAACAAACATAATGTACAGACTCCTTTAATTAATCACTTACTTAAATCTGTCTTCCCATGCAGATCCTGCCGTTCTTTGAATGCTATTCTCTGTTCGTTCTGCAAAAATAAGAATAATCACATGAAATAATGTTTATATTATCATATAGCTAAGAAATTCTCCGCAAAACTGCCTCCCACACTTTGTTACTCGTGTGTTTTTCCATCTGTGTATAATCTCAATAATGATCTCACATCAAACAACATTTGATTGTTTTTATTTTTATTTTATTTTATTTTATACAAAAAAGTAGGAGTTAAATAATTGCTTGTCTTTTTTTTTTTCCATAAAAATGGGTTCCTCTAATATAGACATAATTATAAACATTAGATAATAAATGCCACTATCATATGGCTTGTACTAGGATGTCTAAAGCATATCCTCCATTTTCTCAAATTCAAATGAATTTTGGCCCACTCATCTTCACAGCATTGCTTCTGTTCATTAATTCATATATTCACATTTCTCAGGATCCTGTCACGTCTCAACTGTACTTGGCAACTGTATCAAATGTTGATCTTTTTCTGTTTATTCAGTATCACTGTGAAATTATGGATTTTGCAATTGTTGAAAACAGCCTTATAAACCAGATTTATAATCAGCTACGTTTGCTTCGTTGAGTTCATTTAGGGTGTCTGGTTCTCCTGACACAGCCTTAAGACACACCTACATACTTTAGACCAGAAGTCTGCATAAAATTCTGTTTATAGAGTATATTATTACTTTCTTAATACTGTAAACCTATAGAAGGAAAAATTAGAACACGTCTGTTATATGTTATCTGGGACAAGAAATGAAGAATTTAGAATTAGTCAAGAACAACCTTTTGATTACAATGAAGATAATTCAGTCTGATGATCTGCTGAAAATAACATTAAAATAGGATTGAATTGCTTATTAATGCTGATAGTGGACAGATTTGTATCTACTACAAATACACAGGTAGAGGAAAAAAACATACTAATAGAATAAAATAGAACAGAATTTATAGATTATAGAATAGATCATAGAATGTAGAATAGAATTCATTACTGCGCGCGCACACAGTATAGAAGAGAATTGAGAGATTATAGAATAGATCATAGAATGTAGAATAGAATTCATTACTGCACAGTATAGCTTGTGGGACAGTTACAACTACAATATTGCATGGTAACTCTTTATTTTAAGGTGTCTTTGTTACACGTTACATGTACTTACTATTGTAATAACAATAAATTATGCATAATTATATGCAAGTAATCCTAACCCTAACCATATAGTAAGTGTATGTAGTTAATTAATATTACTCAGTACTTAAATGTATAATTACACTATAACAAGGACACCTTAAAATAAATATTACACTCTTAAAAATAAAGGTTCTTTATTGGCATTGATGTTTTCACAAAAGTTTCTTTATAATGTAAAAATGTTCTTAAAAGATTCAAGAACTGCTCCCAGATATGTTCATCTTTATTTTTAAGAGTGTAAGTGTAAGACTATACAATATACAATACAGTACAAGGTAGAGTACAATTCCAAACCATATACAGTGCAGTATACAAACAGTACATAAACTGTGATATAGACAGATTGTCGATAGTAGAGGAGGTCATTGAAGGTAAAGAATGATAGATTAAGATACTTAATGTGACAGGGTGTCACGTAAACATGGATTATACAGTGTGGTTACTATTAGAAGTGTTTGTTGGAAAACTTGACAGCTGTTGGAAAGATGTTGTTCTTAACCGTGATGTTTTGGCTGGTCTCAGGCATCTAATCTTCTTATACCCTGTGATGGTGTGATGGATGTACAGGGATTTC